AACAAAAGGCGGGCCCGGGGGGGGGGCTATGCGGGATCTGAACCAGAAGTGCAAACTGCCGAGGCCAGAAGCCACCCTGATGATGCACAAGACGACTCTCGAGATGAACAAGAGAAACCAGGGGAACGCGAGAGCAGCACCCCGTCAAGACAAACCAAACCCAAGAAATGCCGCGGTCGACGGTGCCGAGAAGTCGAGGAAAACCTGAAAAAGAGGGGAGGGGGAGAAGGCAGATCCCATCAATAGAAAAACCAAACTGCTGAACTTCCCCGTCCGTAATGGGATCCGGTTCCTTGCTCAGACTTTGCTTTGGGTTTTGCTGTCCCTGGAAACCTTCCAAGTCTGGATAAGCCAAACGAAATCACTTTGACAAACAAACTTGGCTCAAAAGTGGCGAGTGCAACCTGAGGTGGGCGAGAGCTCAGGTGAGGGGGGACCTCCCGAGAAGGAGAGGAAGACCAAGGGCTGACGCAGCTCCGCGGACTTTGACGAGGTTCCTTCCGAGAGCCCGAACGCACACCGCACCCCTTCCCATTTCCAAACTATCGACTCCAATCGCTTGCCCAGGGCCAGCGGCAGCCTCGGGAAGCGCACACAGACACACACGCACGCTGCGCCCGCCCGGCAAGAACGCGGACCCGATTCCAAGCGTCTTTCGACATGGAGGCTGGGTTTGTAACCTGCCCTGTGAAACTGGAAGCTCTGTGAATCCTTCGTTTGCTCTGGCTGGGAAGCAACGGATGCTCCATCACCGAGAGCGGAAGATAATCGTGAAGAAGAGGTAAAAGGCCGGGCAAATAGAAACACTACTTCGTGCTCCCTCCCCCTGGAACAGGCAACTAATTCATGATTTAAGGCCACCGTTATTAAGGTCATCGAGGTTATGTGTAAAGGAGATGATCCTTGGAAATGGAGGGATTTGTTTGCTAAGGGGTACGGTGGAGTTGGGAGCAGATGACGAATTCTGGGACTCACATTATTATCACCCGCTGGGCCGGCTCATCCTTTCAGGTACCTCCCAGAGCGCCTTTGCACCGGTCCCAGCCGACGCAGATCAGCACCAATTTACTGTAAGGAAGACTGAGAGCAGCCCCTCCGCTGCTAGAACAGACGGTACCTTTTCTCCGGCAACCACAGCGTCCCGTGACGAGAGCAGCACGTGAACGTCTGCAACTCCCGGTGCGGCACAAGTGACCAAGGAACACGCGTGTGCACGCGCACGCACGTGCGTGTCCCCGGCCCCGCGTCCCCCTCTCCCAACCGCTGGGCACAAACCGATTTACAGCGATTACACTCCCATCGTGTCCAAAATCCGTCGCTGGCACCTTGGGAGTTAGCGTGTGACGAGACTAACCTCGATCCCTTTAACCTCAGAGCTCAAGGAGGCTTCTTGTGCGAAGGTGCAATGTTTCAGGTAGCTAGAGCAGAGGGGGGAGCAGATGCCTGGAAGCAGCATGCTGTTAAAAATAAAATACATTGACGGCACGACTAAATGTCGCAGCCTCCCAAGAGCTACGTTCTCCTTTGCCGAGAGTGGAGGAGGCGGCGGCGGGGGGGACGGGGACTTGGAAGAGTGAAAGCGCCAAGGGGATCCACCAAGCATGGAGGTTTAGTGTTAATGTAACTGATACCTGAAAGTGAACCTTTCAAGGTGCTTTTCAAAGTGAAGCTCTGTGTGTTTGGACGACTCCGCCAGTTGACGGATCGTCAACTGAAGGGTCGAGAAACGCGCTCAATCCGCGGCCGTCCTGCGGGGACGGGCCGATGGCAGGGCAGCGGCAGGGGGCCAGGATCTGTACAGGCTACGCAGTGTAAGAAGCGCCATAGCTGCCCTTAACTCACTTAGGAAAAAAAAAAAAAAGAAATAAAAATCCTTATCGGCCCCCACTCGTCAGGGACTTGGTTACGGTCAGTCTCTCCGGCTGCGAGTTCGCGGTTAGCTCCGTGTCACACGCACAGGCTGTGACATCATCTGCCAGCAGACTGCGACTGTGGAGCCATGATGACGTGTGACGGTATCGGCATGCTCAGTTCTGTCCTTTGGCTCGCCATCTGGGTGAGCACCGAAGTGGCAACCGCTTCTGCTGCCGAGCGGACGCTGAGCCCGTTGGGGGAGGCCGTCACGGAGCTGTGCTGGATGACGGGAGCAGGGGAGCCGGTGGGCTCAGAGCTCTCCTTTGGGCTTTCTGCTTGACCAGAGAAGGAGAAGGGGATGGAAAAAAGAAGAAAACAAGGTTAGAGAGAGGCTGCGCATGTTGCTACCGGCGTTAGCAGCGGGGCGACGGGACGGGAGACTGCTTCTGCCTCGGAGGGTGTGCAGAAATTAGTCAGGTATTTACTTAACACTCACCTTTCCAGCCAAAGCAGCCTGGAGCGGAGAGGCTGATCCCTACGGGAATCACAGCTCCGCCCACCAAGCTGCTGCCCCCCCCCTCAAGCAGCTGTTGGGCAAAACCAAGTGGGGACTGGAAATAAAAGTGATGAGAGTTGGGACATAATGACCCACCGGGCCCGGCTGGCTCCGTCCCTCGGAGAAACACCACCGAATCTTAGACAATTCGCGCCAGGAAGGCGTAAAGCGCAGGCTTCACACCCAGGATGGCAGACCCGGCATAACCTTTACCGTAATAAATCTGTTTCCTCATTATAACAAATGAACTCTCCTGCATGTTGTTTCCTGGCGTGGTACTTGGTTCAAGGCCATTTAGCCCAGAGACTGAATAGTTCCTTCCGAGCCCTTACCATCTGTTGGGTGAGCACACAGGAAAGCGTGCGACAGAAACCCTTCTGCAAAGGCAGTTTTTTGCCGTTTTTTATATAAATTACCTGGTTTGCTCTTTACTGTTCTCTAGAACATTAAAATCAATTAGAGCCCATTACGAACTGTTTGCTTGCTCGATTTCTTGTGGTAACTTGAAGCAATGTGATCGAAGGGATGGGGAGGGAAACAAAGGCAGAGACCTTCTTCCGTGCTCTTTTCCGAGCGCCGCAGATTGGTTTCCAAAACTTTGGATTCTCTCCCGCAAACAGCCCACTGCGCCCAGGCAGAGCTTCTAACACAGAGGATAATTTGTGACCTATCAAATGCCAAGGCGAGAGCAATCAGACCTCTCTCTTTGGGGGTATACACTCATTATCTACAGATGTCAGGAGGAAATTCCCTCCTGTGCACTTGGCTAGATGAATTACGGGTAAGATGCAGTCACCTTCCTTTAAAAGAGCAAAATAATGGCACGAGCCGGGATACTTCTTCCACGTCAAGAGGGTAAACCCCATGACACCCGGGGAAAAAAAAAAAAAACCAAACAATCAGAGAAGAGGTTTACAACCTCACTGGGCACCGGCAAACGTATTTTAGGGCTCAGTTTTCTATCAGGTGCTGGAATATTGTACCCCTTTCCCCAACGGGTTTTACCTTCCCTTGTGAAACCTTGGCTTGGCCTTCGCCAGCATATTGCAAGACGCGGCTAGCACAGCAGATTTGAAAACTGACTTGGCGGTGAGAGAGAAGGTCGAGCAGAGCAATATAATAGTTTGGCATCCCAAAAAGGAGATTTACAAGGTATTACAAATAAAACAACCCAACTGTACATGAGGCAGCTGTAATTCCATCGAGGGAATCTGGCATTTTTGTTTAAGGACCTGCTTAGTCACAAATCTCAATAATAAAAAAAGGCAGCCGGGGAGGGGGGGCATGGGGAGGGAGGTGTGAATTTCATTTTTATTATTCAGATGTGTGATGAATTCCTATTATTGGACTAGACAGACTGTGAGGAATAATAATAGGAACTGTAAACTTTGGAAGTTAACAGGAAAAATCATGTCGCCTCTCTGCATTATACACAGAGCAAACACCTGTCTGCAAGGGCTGGGGGACAGCGAGGGTTTTCATGACCACATTACTCAAGCTCTGAGTCACTGTAATGAGTGAAAATAAACCGGCTGTGCCAGGCCCTGCGCAGCACGTATTTGTGCCTCACCGCACAGGCAAAGAGCATTTCAGAGACCCAGGAGAGACCCAGGAGATGGGAAGCGGGAGGCAATCGGGAAGGACAGCGCCTGCTTTCTCGGCTTTTGTTTTCTCCCCTTCCCTTTTCTTATCTCCATTTACATCCCTGCCTCTCGTCCCGTTAATCTAGGCAACGCTAGGGGACTCCAGCATCCTCCCAAAGCCTTTGCACAAATACCACAGCGTGGAATTGTTATTGCAGAGATGACATAAGAATCCAGACATAATGTTTAGCTCCCAGGTTGATTATAATGAAATAGGCAGCATTAAAAAAAAAATATGAAAGAAAGAAAAGAAGATAAAAAGGAGGCCTTCTTAGTTCCAAACCCGAGCCAATTTGATGTGAATTGCAGAGAATGAGATATAGAGCCCCATGATGTCATTTATAGAGTCTGGCCTTTTCTGACTCTGGCTTCGCTTTCAGAGCAGCAATGGTTTTTAACTTCAAAGAGAGTCTCAAGTGCTTGGCACGCTGCCTGGGAGCGGGTGGAGAGACGCTGGCCCGCACTCCAGGGAGAAGCGGAGATACAGATCTCCGTCAAATATTCCACACTACGGAGACGCGGAGGGAGATGCACTGCCTCCTTCCCTCGGCGCTTTCGCACCGTGGTTGCCCTCACTGCCTGCTTGCAAGATCTTATAAACCAGGTTAAAGTGCCAATTTGCAGTGCAAATTTGCAGGTCCAGCCTGGGCGATCCTCCTCACTGTGGAGGCCGTATCAAGCAGAAGACACAGGACCAAGGTCTGTCCTGTCCTGCCAGGTGCAGTCGCTGGAGGGTGATGGAGCAGAGACTAAGATGAAGACTCCTTTCCTTTACATCTTATGCAGGTTTCATCTGCTTAGACCTACTTAAAGGGTAGTAAGGACCAGCAAAAGTCATCACTCACCGAGATAGCCCTGTGTTTTCTTCTGTAGTGCAGTGACAGGGCAGTCCTTGTGAGCCAGCAGGAGCTGTTTAAGCTGAGCAACTTCGTTCCTCAGTAGCGTAACTTCATTCTGAGATTGAAAAACAAACACGCACGTATGCATCACTCATGCTCTTGACAGCAGCCTCCAGCAACGGCAAGATGTTAATTTATGTGCCCTGCAAACTTACAATTTGTTGTCTAATTTGAGATGCCTCTGGCCCAAGAACACCAAACAAAGTTTCTGGGTTTGGGGAATTTAATGCGCAAGACACGGACTGCAGCGTTTCCCTCCAGCAGCCCCCACTGCTGGCTGGAAAGCCCCTCGCTACGTTAATCACCTAATCCTGGACATACATTTGCCTGAGCCCTCCTGCTAATGCCAACTACTTGAGTCAGACACTCCGGCTTGCTGATGGCTCCGAAGGAAAACTAAACAGAGCGAGAAGCTGAGTGTACAACCGGCTCAGCCCACGCCAGGCCGTGGGGAACATCAGAGCTCCTCCAGGCTCTCGGCACCTCTGTGAGCTTCTTCTGTAAACCAGGTCTACTCCCCTGAAAACTTTGTGCAGCATATTATGCCCCTATTGAAACGTTTGGAGAAACAGCTGAAACCCAGTCAATTGTATTTCAAAATTGCCGGAGGAAACAGTTTCTATAATTATCTTGGGAAGAGAATAAAAATACCATGATCAGCGCTATTGAAAAAAATCCCACCGCATGAGTCACTAGCCACCGGCGAAAGAAAAAGCCCAGAACGGACACGCGTTCGGTCTTTGCAGACCCTTCAATCCTCGGCCAACGCTGAGAGCATTAACAAGGGGGCTAATGGCAATGGAAGTGAAGTCTGTGTTTTTAGATGCGTTGCACTTCTGTTAGGTACACGGCGGGTGCTGCCAGAGAGCCAGGGAAACCCAGTTCTCCAGAAAAATCCGTATGACTGCGGGCTGCAGCTGCAGAGCCTCCCTGCTCCCCCCAGCACCAGGTCCGCCATGCAGGGAAGGGAACCAGGACTGCTTCTGCTGACCCCGTGCCAGCAGAGAGCTCTCCCTCACGTAGGGGAGGTTTCCACTCTGCAAATACAGCTGCTTCCTGGGGCCTCCGCGCTCTGCTCGAGGCTGGCGTGGCTCCTCAAGCTGCTGCCTTGATGGGCAGAGGCAGAGCCCTTTCGAGGGGGACAGGGAGAGAAACAAGAGCACTGAAGCGCTCTTCCCCCGTGGCCTGCTCGAGGCAGAGGATCAGTGTGGAAAGCGGGGAGTGAAATCTAGGCACAGAGGCAGCAATCCTGCTCCAGAAAGCAGCATCCAAAGGCACGTTGTCTCTGCAGCACGGGGAAGATGTTCCCTCCGGAGCGACGGTCCTAACGCTGGCAAAGGGCTGTGCTCAGCCTCCACGGTTACATACTCACGCTCAGCTGGATGTTCTGGGTCGTGAGCTCCTCGGCTTTCTTCTCCAAGGAAGACACCCAGAGCTTGCGTTTCTGACGGCAGCGGGACGCGGCAGCCCGGTTCCGCTCCAGGAACCGCTGCCGGCGCTCGTCCGGGTCTTCGTCAACCGTGCGTCTCCGTCGCCCGCCGGTGCTGGGGGTGGGCTGGGCAGGGGAAACCTGGAGATGGGGCACGTGAAAGAGAGATACTGAAAAGAAGCTCTGGTGCAGGCAGGCAGACACACACTGGCGTAACCAAAGTTTGGCAGAGGAAATGCCAGCTCTTGCAGCTGGAGCAAAAAGGGATTTGCTTTTGCAGAGCAGCTAGAACTGTACACGCTGCAGGGGGGACCAAGGGCAGCCCTGGCTGCGATGGGGGAGCTGGGGATAAAGCTCCTTCCACAGGCGTTTCTGGCAGCCCTTCCTCAGCTGAGTCTGAAGCGCCCTGCAAAATGAAGGTGTGAATCCATGTGAACTCTCCGAGATCCTGAACCCGGTGAACGTGTGAATGTCAGGGGAATTAGTTAAATCCCAAACTCCTACAGTCAGCTAATGGCATGTAACCGACAGCAGAAGTTTTCCTCCCCTCCATGACGAGGAGCTAACGCGGTAAGTGACCACGGGCAAGGCAGAGAAAACAGCCTTCCTTTTAATTTCACTTAAAAGAGACTTTAAAAAGCGCTTCACGCTGCAATGACTTAGGAGATTCCCACACAGCCAGCGACCACGTATCAGCTGACGGAGGGTAACTCCCAGCTGCAGGGCTGGGAGCGCTCGATCCCGCTCTGACGCATGTAACCACGCACGGTCAAAGCGCCGTCTCCATTTGGGTCCAGTAACCCCATTTGGGTTCAGTAACTCACTCGCGGAGCACAAATTACAGTTTTTGAGTGGGTGATTTGCTTTAAAAATTAATTTGGGTTAAATTTTCCCTGAATGTCTTCAGCTAAACAAGCTCTCGGAGGCAACTGGTACAAAAAGATTTTGTAAAACCGCACATTTCCCAGTTTTATTTCAGGAGGACAATGGAAAAGTCAGCGAGGGCAAACAGTCCTGCAGACACAGCCTCGCCGGCGCTTCTGCGAGGGCTCTGTAATTACACTGCCACAATCGGGGAGTGCAGTTACACTTCGGTACTCGCTGTCAGGCAGCATATGGATATTAAACTTTTGGAAGCCTATCTAACTGACGGAGCAGGTGGTGATCCTGATGGAAGGCTGGCATTTGGTTAGCTGGCAGGAGCCAGTGGAGTTGATTGCCTAAGAGGGGAGCATTTAACCCCAGTAATTGAGCAGGGAGAAGAGAGCGAAATATTCTTTCGAAACTCCAGACCTTGTCAAGCAAATTAACATGTTGCTGAAGCTTTCTGCCTGGTGGTGTTTGAGAGCATTAGTGCTGAAGCGGCACTGAAAAAACAAGGTTTTTAACTCATTCTGCAAACCAGGAAGCTGCAAGATTTTCCTCCTCTTTCCCCGAGGCCCAGAAACCCGCAGCATCTCCAGCCCAGCCTCGCGGGCTAAGCAGTAGCAGACCTGTGGCTGAGCTGGGGAAGGGGCGTCAGGGTGCTGGACGAGTATCTGACTCTGCTCTGGACGTGCGGTCACCATCGTGCTGGCTGAGCCCACCACCAGGTTGCTGCCATTCAGTGAGGAAGATGCCGTCAAGCTGGCCTTCAGCCTCTGTTAAAGGAGAAAAAAGGACATCAGCGGACCTGTTCTCCATGCTGTTAAGGCTTTAACCAGCTCCTCTGTCATCCAAGGAGCCAGGCCGCGGGGGAACAGGCTCTTCAGGGACCGCGGCTGATCCAAATCCAACCGAAAGCCATCACCATCTGGCCTACCCAAAGACAGGCAGCGGCTTCCAACTTAGGCCCAAGCGGACAGGTGTCCGCATCCCAAAATTGCTACTGCAACTGGCACCGATCCGCTCCCCGGCTGGCAGGCTCTGCAGAAAGACCACGGACTGAACAGGCTGCGGAGCCCAACTGCCCTTGAGCACCCACAGAGGGGTCCTTCTGGGATGGAGAAGGACTTACGCGTGATCAAGACCATGCCTTGCAAATTCTTTCTCTGGGCAGCCAGACAGGCCAGCGGGGCAGGATGGCTGTTTCATGCCTCAGAGTTTAAGATCTCTCGCCTCACTCGTAGCTCTGATCTGCCCATGAATCCTGCAGACATCTGAACAGGGTGCAATGGGAGCAGTGACAGCACACCCGCAACGGTGAGCAGCACCGCTGTAAGAGGTGGGTTTGCAAATGTCTCCACCCCGTCTCAGCCAAAAAACCAGGGGGTTTCGCTGCTCTTTGCTCGCAAACTTAGGTTTGCTTCCCCCTCTCTGCACGCGCCTAGTTCGAGCCATGAAGAGCCAGGAGAAGAAAATTCTTTCGTAAACTTTTAGTTAAAGAGGACAACATGAAAACCATTACCAGGATCCTTGGATTTACAGCACAACATCTCTTCTCTTGGCTCTGCCTTCCTCAAGCCCACCTCCAACCCATCTGTTATCTTGGAACTAGAAGCACCAGCTTTACAAAACAGCCGCGTTTAGGATGGGGCTGAGGTTTGTCTTGACAATAGTGTGCCTGCTCTGCCTGCCAGAGCCGCAGCGCTGATTAGTCTAATATTCCTGGTGGCATTTGCAACACCTGCTCTCGGTGTGGGGAGGCGCAGCGCAGGATTTTGGAGAAGCAGCGGCTCTTTGCGAAGGCTGCAGGGAAAAAGCCTCCAGACGGAGTCTCTTCTGGAGGAGCTAGCGAAGACTTAGGGACAAGATCGCGGACGTGACACCCTCCCCAGCATGTATTTGGACACTTACCATTTTGGCTTCAGAGTGCACTGGAAGTCCTGATGGTGAAATGGATCCGCTGCTGTTGATGGGCGGTCCAGGAATACCGGGAATGTTCGGCACCATGGACATCGGCCGAGCCAGCTATCGGGGAGGAAGCAACGCATGGGTTTTGGAAGCTGAGGTGCTTTTGCAAGCGCGAAGCGGCTCTGTAATAATTCCCCGACCAAGCACATTTATAAATCTTGACAAACGTTCAGTGTTTAACTACTGCCATCAATTATGCCTGCTGTCACTGAAGGCCAGCAGCCACTCCTTTGGTGGCCACAGTGGCTGTTTCGAAATCCCCCAGCCATACCGGCCTAGTGCTGAGGACAGGGAGGAGGGCAGCCCTAAAGCCTCCCTCCTTCCCTTCCCTCCCAGAGGGCTTTTCCCCGCCAGTACAGGAGAGCAGATGGAGAGGGAGGGTATGAGATCCCCTCTGGTTCTCTGCCTGGCTCTATGGCAAAGCTGCCACAACACCAAGGGTAAGTCACAGCATCCCCTCCTAAACAGAGAGCCTTCTCCCTCACCAAAGAGGGGAAAAAACAGAATTTGCGCTTGCTTTTATAAGCCACTCAGGTACGCTGTTGCAGAGCACTACAAACGCAAGTCGTGTTTCAAACGATCAGGGAGGTGCAAAGATGTTTCCGTGCCCACAAGCTATGCCGAGCTGCCTGCAGTCTGCCTACTTTGACGTCAACATTCCTGTTACCTGCGGCAGAAGGTTTTGGCCATTACTCACTCAAAACCCAAAAGACATGCCCAGCAGGACAGACAGGATTCACACGGGCTGCTTGGTCGGGAGCTGAAGCGCTCAGAAGACGTACAAGCCACCCACCAGGCAAATCTGCTCGTGAGTTCTGCACCACGGAAAATTCTCTGTATGCAAAAAGCACAACCCGCAAGGCTGATATTCAAACAGCTCTTTAGCACACTGGCGAGGTTAGGGTGGCTTTCCTGGCCTGCAAAGACCAACATGTTCTCTGCAAGCTCGAATGGTTTCAATTGAGGCACGCTGTTCCAAATGGAAGCAGCTAATCAGGGATCCTACGGTTCCCAGCCCTGGATCAATGGCATGAGCCATCTGTCCAGGCAAGGCTTTGTTTTTTTCCAGACTTATTGCCCTCTAGTGTGATCGACATGTTATTACTACTTTGCCAGAGCTGGGCCCCCTCCTCCTCCTCCAGTCGTATTGTGCACGGAGGGGGAGATGTATTTTAATTTTTACAAAATTGAAGTGTCTGCATATATTTGGCAAGGGAAAAACACTGTCCCCTCCTCTGCCACGCAGAGCTGTGTTGGAAGTTTCTCTCACCGATATAACAGAAGGCATCTGTACTGGAGGGCCTGGGAGGACGGGCATGGTCTGTCCGTTCGCAAGCTGCACGACAAGTGGAAGGGAACCTGTGGGAGACCTGGAGAAACAACAATTCAAGTTCTCATGGATTATTTCAAGTTTATGCTGTCCCGGCAGCCCCATGAGCTCAAGGGCAGAAGCCCAAATTAATTCTGGTTAGTGGATTTGGGCTCATTTTCCCATTTCTGAATGGCACGTTCCGAACGGGTGGGTGCAAAGCCCAGCTGAGCACGTGTGTTAAGGTAACTCAGCCTCCCGCACACTCGCTGCACGGCAGCCAGCACGTGCCAATGTCACGCCGAGGCGACCCAGGCTGCCGGCTCCTCGCTCGGGGCTGGCAGCGACGCTGATGGCCAGCGTTACGATGTGTCCTGGTTAACTCCCAGGCATACACCGGCTGGCCAAAACACCACGGCTGCCAAAGGCCCGAGACACGACGCCCACCTGAATAGAGAGAAAAGCACATCCAGGGGCTGCTGCAGCTCCTCGTCGGGGAGATTAAAAGTGCCTTCCCGGGCTGAGCCTGGCGCCGGGCAGATGGGGGATCTGGGCAGCTGCTCCCGCCTACCAGTAACTTCTTGGCCTGTGAGCCACGTCTGCTGAGCTCCCACAAGAGGGTTTGCAAGGATTTAGCTTTCCATTAACAAGCGCTTCTGCCTCTGACTCCAGAGAAAACCTCCTAAATATGGAGTCGGTCCAGGGCTGGCTTGTGTCTGCCCAGACAATGGCTCTGGGAGATGGGAACGGCCCCGCTCACTGCAGGCTGGGGGAGGAGGCGATAGCGCCGGAGCCTAATTGTGACAAATTAAAAATACCAAGAACTTTTTCCATTGCAGATCACTTTGCAGCGAAAGGCGGCGTTTCTGCATGTGGTGACAAACAGGCACACAAACCCCTGCCTCCATTTCAGAGCGTCACAAACCTCACTGCGCTCTGGCTCTGACCCTCCGGACTCAGCCTTTCTAGGACAGTGGAGGAAAAGCCGGAGCTGATCTGCTTCAGCTGATGGGGAGAGGAAGGAAACCGTCCCTGCCAGCAAGGGCTGATCTCCTGCTCCTCCTCAGCTCGTGACAGCGCAGCAGGGAGCCGAATGGAGGCAGAGACGAGCCGGGAAAAGAAGAGCAGAGCTGCTGGGAGCCTGACTTTGGGGAAGGGAGAAAAAAAAATTTGCTGCTGCCTCCTCTGCCGAGCCCAGGGAAGGGGACGGACGAGGCTGGGCTGCCTGGGATCCTCGGAGGAAGCCGTGCTGGCATGGAGTAACGGCAGGGTGGGGAGAAGCAGGGGACGCGGGTCAGAGGGGGGAGTTCATCGTGCCAATAACTCAGGCTGGAATTTTTAAGGCTGCCTTGGGAACGCGAACGCTCGACTCTCATTCATTTCTATTGGGCATCCCAAATCCTCCAGGCTGCTTTGAAAATCTCAGCCTAACAAGCTGAGTTACAAGGAGGTCACAGCCTCCCCTCCATCTCTGTCACGCTGACAACCCCACCACATCTGCAGTGGCCCTAACACAGGGACCCTCGTTAAAACCGCAGCCCAACCTCTCCGTAGAGCGCTTTCAACTCTCATGCCCTAGGAGGGATCTACCCCCGTGGGCTGCAAAGGGCACATAAAATCGTATTAAAGTCTAGCTTACTCCAGTTCTGATTTTTTCATGCCTCCAAGCACGAGGGGACTCGGTTCCAAACAGCCCCGCGAGTCTCTGCCTGTGCAGGGTTACAGAAGGAATATAATGCCCTTTCAAAACCCCAGGACAATCACTTAACCCCTTAATGCCTCAAGACAGGGTTTAAAACTTTCCGTCAGGAAGTCTGGATTGATGGTGCCAGAGGGTCAAAGCAAAAACACACACAAAAATATGAACTGACAGCTGAAAAGAATGGCCTGGTTAATGTAAGGAGCCAGCCTCAAACAACGGTAATTAGAAAGAGGCCAGGACCACAGCAAAAAAGAAGCATCCTGACACCAAAGAATGAAAGTGGGGCTAAATATACGTCTCCTGAGGGCTCATTGTAATGTGTTTCCTGCATCCTTCAGGCTCCTTCCTTTTATGTGCAGGGCCAGAGCTACCTAACAGTGTGGCAGGCTCATAACCGAGATTGTTAAAGGGGCAAAAAGGAGCAGGTCATTAGATCTGCTGAAACAAACAGCTCCCGAGGCAGAAGCTGGCCATGAAGGAGGCCAGCAGGTTGCAGAAGAGGTTACACTTCAGAGGCAACAGCTGTCTGCGAAAATCCCAAAGCCATTAAAGTCCAGACAATTTCCTACCATCGGTTTAGCTGAGCTCTCTCCACCGCACCAGGCTGCAAAAGCAACTTGGGAGTCCCCAGTCAGGCCACGCTCCCATCGTAGACAGCGAGTGTCACGTCAACGTGTTTGGGGATTGGGTTTAATTTCTCCCCGCGGTGAGTTTTGCCTCGTTTCGTTACACTACGACAATTAGTTCCTGCTTTCTGCACTTACACCCCATTCTGCTTTTGTAGACAGTGCTGCAACGAGGCCCTTATGCCCAAGCAGCCGCAGCCGGAATCGCGGCACCTCAGTTGTTCTGACAATCAAGGAACTTATTTAGGTACCTAATTACTGCCCAGGAAGCCTGACGGTACGGGAGAAAAACCTCAGCGCACATGTCCCTCCTCCGTACTTACCCAAGCTGTCTGTTGGAAGGGGGAGCCTGGGTAATGACAGAGGTTGGGGAAGGCAGCGTAGGGTGGAGCGGGTCGTAACCCAAGTGTAGTGGCAGCGAGCCTGGACGCACGATGGTTGGAGTAGGCGTAGAAATGATTACAGGCTTGGAGGTGATCTCCTGAAGAGGATCGACAGACAAAAGGAGACACGCTGTTACTTAATAGTTTCACAATCCCCTGGCTGTCTCTTCCTTCCGATGTCTTAAAAGCAATTTAGTGAAAATTAAGGCACCTTCGCCACAGAAACTGAGGCACGGAGGGGAGCGACTTACCCAAAGCCACACTGATTTGATGCCAGTGCAGGGAACGGGGCACAGAAATTCAGACTCCTGCTGCCTGCAGCAGCCACTGGGAAATAATCCCCCTCTCCAAATTACCGCTCCAGCCCCAGCTAGCGTCTCTACAGTGGGAAGTTATTCAGATGGAGACCGTGTCACCTGCACTAATATGCTCTGGATCACCAGCCAGCCCTCCCAGGACACAGGGAGCCGGTCTCGGAGAAGATGCATTACTTGTTTGGCACTCTTGCCCTGCCAGAAAAGCATTCCCAAGGTGAACAGCGAGGCTTTCTGAATTAGCCAAATCCACGTGGAGACTTAAGGGCAGCAAACGTGTATTTTAGCGAACAAGCTTTTCTCTTTCTTTCTAAAATGAGGGGAACCTCACAAGCCCAAATCAGGCCTTGGCACCCACGTGGAGAAAAAGCTTGTTCTCATCCAGAGAAGGAGAGACCAACACCTCCACAGGGCACGGTCGGGGAGACCTACCTTCTCCTTGTTCTGTGGCGACTGCGGGTTAGACACAGGGCTGTCCGGCGGGGAAGAGTCCACCTCCACTGGCTCTTCCTCCTTTATCTTGATGTCCGGGGTGGAGGGCAGAGACATGTCCAGGGCTCCGGCACTCTACAGGAAAACCAGCCACGGATTGAAAGGACAATTAGCTCATATTGTTTGTGAAACATTTGGCTGCTCCCAGAGGAAGAGCTACAGCTCTGAGCTCTTGCCAAATTATTATTATTTATTTGTACTGAAGTAGCATCTGGGAGCCCGAGGCGGAGAGCGGTGCCGTGCCGCGCCGGCCCCGTCCAAACAGAGACGGAGGCCTAGGAAAGACGGTCTCTGCCCCAGATGGCACCATTTTGTGGTTTCTCCGTAACACACACACAATTCTTTCCATGGGTTAGGTGTTTTGGTTTTTTTTTATAAAAGGTCTCTGCTAAGGAGAACAGGTAACAAAGCCAAATGCCTGCGAGTTACAGAAGGCACTTTCATTCACAGAAGAGCTGTAAAGCATTGTATAAATCAGCCTGAATTATTTTATTACCCGATTATCAAAAGCAAACAAAGAGCCATGCAAGTTATTAAATATCTATGAGCGCCCCATTAAAATAAAACCCAACCATATGCCTGAACCTGGCAACTTGCCACCACCCTGTATTCCAGCAGTGCCACGTGCCCCATTTTAACCAGTTAATGACTTGCTGGGGACGGGAAAAGGGCAGGGTGACAACAAGGGAGGGGGACTAAACTGAGCGGCCACCTCTCCCCTCCCCAGACCTGGAGGAAGAGAAGACCTGGGAGAAGATGGCGTACGGGAGCACCGGAGGAGCACGCAACGGAGCGACACTCGACTGCGGGATGCTGCATTCAATTGGGCTCCAACAGACCTCGCAAATCACCCGGTCCCTCCTTCTGTCCGGGGCAGCAGAAACTCTCCCTAAATCAGTCCTGACAGCTGTTTGTCCAACCTGCTCTCCCTCCCTCCACAATCAATCCCAGAGCTTTCCTTCACTCGCCCGACTGCTGACAGTTTGTCCTAGCATCTAACCTAAACCTCCTCCTTTGCTGCATTTTAAGTCCTCTCAAGGGAGGGGAAATTGCGGCAAGAGGGTAAATCCGGGCATCTACAGATGCTCTCGCTGCTCTCGAGTGGGGTGCGGCTCCAGCGCCTCCGCTCTGCACTGATTTACACAGGAGCTTTGCTTGCGGTATGTGCAGTAACCATTTACCTGCCCTCTTAAGCAGAGATGTTGCACTGGGAATCACAAAGGAGAAGGGATTAACATGCAGGAAAGTTTCAAACCACTTAAAGTGCCTCCAGGGAAGCTCCTGCTGTGCCTATGTTTTTAATTAACATGCTGGTGTCGAGACCACCCTTGGAACTGGAGGACAAAACACAACAGCAGCAACTGGGCTCAGCGCGGCGGCCAAATGCCGAAAGCATCTCAGAAATGCAGCAGGCAGCTCTGGCCAGGTTCGGTGAGCGACAAGCCATCTGGGCCCAGGGACCCTCTGCCTGTGCAGCGATTTAGGAGGGATAATGGTTTCCCTAACGCCTGAAACCACCCCAAGCTTCACGCCGCCCCGTTCGCCTGGCTGCCGGCAGAAATATTTAGACTGCAGTCATCCTAAAGCAAAAAACGAAAACATCTAACAGCCTAAGGATCTTAGCTGCGGCTATTAGGTAGCGCAGCCCAGGAGATGGGTGGTCTCACATATATAAAACAACTGGCTAGACTGGTGGCTGCTGGAAATGTGAAACCACAAACGAAAAGCTACCTTCTCCCAGCGCTTGGTGTCTGGGCTGCAGAGAACAAAAGGCAGGGAATTCAGAGCATAAAATGCCACGCAGCCCCGACAAGGCCCTGCAGCATACCAATGAGAGAGATCAATTTATGCTTTAAAGAGCCCTGTTATTAGAAAAGCGGGTGAAAGACAGTTTTCAGTTTTAATTCTGAATTCCTCCGTTCCCCATCTCAGTGAAGATTTACGCGGCTGTGCTCCTGCAGTTTATTTCCGAGCAGCGCCGCTGACTGTGAGCGTATGTACATACATATATCAATTTAGTAAATGTATGTGCCAGTCTAAGAGCCCAATACGCATCTGCTGCTCCTCAGCTCCTGGAAAGGGGGGGAAGAAATGTCCTTAATTAGCTGCTATCTGATGAGATCCCGTTGTCCTTCAGACCCTTGCACTCCTGAGGTTGGCAGGGGCAGCCTGAATCGATACCGCTTGCGTATGAGGGAGCTCTTTGTTAGAAAAAGCCTCAGTCCTCCATGGAGCCCCTCTCTGTTTGCATGTACCGTGACACCGCTCAAACGCTAAAGACACACGGCTGAGCTCGGTCCCTTCCCTGCCGATTGCACCTTAAAGGCATCATCGTTAAGGATCTTGATCCCCAAGGAGGCTCTGAGTGAATTTTTGCTCAGATCCTGAGCCCTTAACAGAGTCCTGCTCTTTTCCTGCATCTCCTTCCCAAGGTGCAAGGTATGTCGGGTACTGCCTTTTTTTTTTTTTTTTTTTCTTTTTTGAAGTGAAAAGCCAAAGGAATAATAAACCATTAAAATCCGCTCTCACCAGGCCTCGGATTGCAGGATAGCGAGCCAAAGTCACCCGAGTTACAAAAATAAAGTCCCATGTAAGCCAACATATTAAATCCGAGACCACACTTAGTTACCCTACAACATATGCCTTTCATCAGAACAGCACCGTCCCCTCTCCAGCCCCCACAATATGCACCCGGCTCAATTTACGGCAACGGTGGCCTTTGCCTCTTGCCTTTTTCTCGTCATCCTCCGTGGCTTTCTTGAACTCGTGCTCAAAGGAGCTGGCCAGTTCATTGAAGAGTCCCACTTCTTCGCAGTTCTTCAAAAACCTAGTTGGGGTCGGAGTCTGATCTGTTTGGGTTGCAACACCAAGCAGCGGTTAAAGAGAGGCTAGAGAATTCATTTTAACCACCTTAGTCCTCTCCGGGGACCCCTAGCAAATGTGGCCTCTGTTTTGTGAAAGGCTGGATCCTTTTCTGCTAAGGTGTGTGTCGCGTTTGCAAAGCAAGTGACAATTCAGAAAGGGGAAAATAATTTCTTGTTAATTTTGTTTCTCTGGAAAGTGCTGTTTTTTTAAAAAAAAAATCATTGCGGCGAGAGGCGTGCGGTGATTTCTGTGAAATCCCTGCCTTTGGGTCGTGTCCTGTCCCTCCCACCCCAGGGTTTTGCTTGTCCTCATCTGAATTGCTGCTGCAAGGAAGGGAAATAGTGGGGTTTGATCTCCCTGAAACAGCAGATCTGAAAAATATGGAGTGATAAGAGGGGAAACGGCTGATCGGAGCAGTTCCACCGCTGATGTGGAATAGAGCTGGGCAGAGTCGCTTCCCTCCCTGTGCCGGCTCCATACATTAACGCGCATCCTAGGACAGACGGCTACGTGGGAGTGCTAATAATTACCACCACTGTCCAAAGCAATCCCTCTGGGGCCAGTTTTCCACCATATTAACACGTTGAGTCATGATCTCTCTGGCCATCACCCAGGCTATAAAGCAGAAAGAAATCTCCCCGCTCCCAGCGAGCCTCGTTTTTCTGCGTGACGTTAGGTCAGGAGTCCAGGTACTAGTGGGAGCCCGGCACGAGCACATTACACCGAAAGAATCCATCTGGCAGAAAACTACATAGATTTTTAAGCGCAAAGGGGATCCCTGGGATAGTTTAGCCTGACCTCCTGCATAAAACATCGGCTGTTTGGCACGGATGCTCCCCGTTTGAGCGCAGTAGCTGTGCTCGAGCTGAAGTGTCTACGGAAAACATCCCATCTGATTTCAAACTGGCCAGTGGTGGAGAGTCTCCCGCAGCCTTCGGGAAGCGACTCCGGCCATTACTTCGCCTTGCTGTCGCAGAACTGCACTTTACTTCCAGTCTGACTTCAAACCCTACCTATTGGTTTTGTTAATAAAGCAAAGGCCTCCTCTGAGCACACTTCGGTTCCCCCCAAATCTCTCTTCATTAAACCAAGAAACTTCGTCAACTAAAGATCTCGGCAGGAGGCTGTTTTTCCAGTGCTTTAACAGCTCTCAGGGCTCTTTTCGGACCATTCCCCATTTAGCAATGTCCTTCCGAGCCGCGCACGCCAGCCCGGGGCCCAAATCTCCCAGCAGAAGTTTTCACAATGCCACAAAGCAAAGCCGTATAACCTCTCTCGTCCTAGCCTTCTCCAATTTGTACCTCCAGGAATTGCAGCAGCTCTTCCGCCCACAGCATCACCCCAGAAGTGCACGTTCCCATTTAAATAAGCCTCTCTGCTGCCAGCTATAACCGGCAGAGAGAGAACAATTCTTTACGGCTCTCTTTAGCTTAACCACGGAGTTACGGCAAGAGATGTACGCTGAATCCTCCTGCTCATTAACACACGGGCTGCTGCCCTGGACTCGGCACAAAGCAAGAGGGAGGGAGAGAACAAGAAAACCCAGAGACAAAATGGTGGCTTAAAAAAAAAAAAAACCAACAACAAAAAGGACATGAGGAATGTAGGGCAATCATGCCCTAATCTCACTGCTCAAAGCCAGCATGCTTTATAGCCCTCGCAAACCTCCCGGCAGCTCTATCTGCCATCAAGATCTCAGCCAGGGAAAGCTAGTGTTAAATAGGCTGGTCTTGCACTGACCACAGCTAAGTAAGTTTGGGGGGTTTTTTTGCTTCGTGGCTTACCCTGGAGCAACCCGCTGAGCATCAGCCTGGAGGAGCTGGGAGAGAGGGCTAGACCCGCCCTCGCTGCTGTTCCTTGTGCTAAAACTGAAGTGTGCCATCCCACCCACGGTTTTACCCGTGAGAGTTTGTGCACAGGAGGAACATACACCTCTGGGAGCAGCAAAGATGGACTTTTAATGCTGCATCCCTGTTAGAGCAGGTGGGACTTCAGCTGGAGACAGGACTGTACCCCATTTCTGCCCCCTCATCACCACCTGGCCAATTTACACCCTTGGGTTTATCAAGCAAAAGCTAACCCTCCCGCTGTGCACCCTGTTTACAAAGGGGGCGGACTGAAGGAAAAACGACCTTTAGGAATCTGAGGTTTCTTTCAGCCCCTGCCCCCGATTCTTTGCCATCAACTCCCGTTAGCCTGATCCCATTTGAAATTAATTCTCCCTCTGGGAGCCTGTTTCGTCTCTGTGAGCCCTCCCCCGGGAGAAGCTTTTTGCCCTTCCAGCACAGGCTGCGCGAGCTCCCTTACAATCCTACCCACAGCTCCAATTAACTTGGAGGCTTTAAGAAACCAACTGAATTGCTATTTCCTACTTCAACACCGAATTTGGGCTGGAGATGCACCTGGGAAAAGGGTGCCAGGCTCTTGCAGCAGACGCTTCGTTTCCCCTTATGAACTCTCGAGGCTTCAAGAAAGCATTTCCTCCTCGTTTCTTGTTCTCAGCCAACAGCCTTTTCATCCAGCGGTAACACAAACCTCACGCCCTTTTAAGAAGCCCAAACGAAAGGGGATTGACAAGGCAGGAGAGTATCTGTAACCGGCAATGATCTGCTGCCAGACAACAATATACATGGGGTTTTTTTCCCAATCTTATAAAGACTGCATTGACCGTGTGCTGCCAGAGCGCCTCATTTGGGCTCTGTAAATGCACTCTCGGCAGTAGCCAGTGCACTCGATGGCATTTTAATTTATTAACTGCTAGCCTAAAAGCTCAAGAAAATTGACACCTGGGCTGAGGAGAGGAAGCTGGGTTTGTCAGATTTTGTTCATCGTCCTCAAAGCACATGCAGAAACGTGAAAGACCTTTTGTCCATAAATCTTCCAGTCTTAATAAAAAGGGCGAGAGCTTAAAAAAAAAAAAAACCACCCCAAAACCCCTTAACCCCCACAAAACCTGATACTACCATAAAAAAGGAAAAAAAATAGAAACTTGGAAGCCTCTGGCTTTCCTTTCCTCCTGATTAAATGCAGATCACAAGAGCTTTTTATGGGAGGTAGAGACGTTTTTCAGTGCATCTGGTCCCTGGTATTAATCTTGCAGTCATGCTATATTAATGTGCACCGTTTTCAGAGCTGGCCTGGATTGAACGCCACATACCTGCTATGATGACTGAGTCAGTTCGAGCAGGGCCGAATTTCAATGTCATCTCATGCTTATGTTTATGAACCGCCAGGTGGTCCTCGTTTGTAAACCTCTGAAATGAAACAATTTAGAAAATCGTGAATAAATGCATTTCGTGTTTTACGGGTACATCCTGCAGCAGGGTGGGGGAGAGCCGCCCGGAGAGCAACTGTAACACAATCGCTGCCGAGCGTTAAGCAAAACCAGAGCGGGACAGATTGTTTGAGAAGCGGTGTGTGAACACATTGCTCAAAATGAAAAAGCCATTACACGGGGCTTCTGGGGAACTGGGGACAAATATTTTTAATAATCCTTTTTTTTTTTTTTTTTTTAAGCGGCGGGGCCACGCGGTGGCTGCAACCGATCTAGGAAATGCAAATCCGCCCCGCTCGGTGAGATGCGCCGCTTTATTGCTGGCTAATGGAGGGAATGAATTATGCGCTATTAAGGGTCAGGCAACTTTTTTTGGACGGTGTGCGACAGAGCTGGCACCCGCCCGGCAGTTCAGGCCGTGGCTTTATGGAGCGGGATGGAGGCGGCTGCCCAACGTCCCTGCCCGTGGCTCTTTGCGATGGCACATAGCAGCCCGAAGCACGGCTGCCGCCGAACCGGGGGGGGACGACACATTTCACGTGCCGTAAAGACGCCGTCTGAAATTCCACCTGCGGGAGAATTGCAGGATAAAAACCCACCCATGATGGCTTTAGGGATGCGCTGGGTGGGGGGCTCGCGTCCACCCCGCGAGGCAGGGCTGGGTGCACGGGGCCATCGCTGACACCCAGACAAAAGGGCAGCATCGCCCGCTGCGGGGCTGCTTTGAACGGCTGCGCCAGCCCCAAGCATCGAGACTGAGGAAAGGTGGGGGGGGGAGAGGGAGAGGCAGGGACGGGGTTAAAGCAAATAATCATAAAGACCCGAGGATGGATTGCGCCTCTCCTAATAGACTGCGACAAACCGGGAGGCTGAGGGCATTGCATGGGCCGTACTGCAGGATTTTTATGCATCCAGGAGCCGCACAGCATCGGGCTTCTTGTTTCTAGAAAGAGCTGCTGCTGCAGCAAAGGATTTCTGCCCTTTTCCCCTTCCTTTTTTCTCTCTCTTTAAATCAACCAACCAAACCAACCAACCCAAAGCCACCTGTTTCTATGAATTAGCTCAAGCGTGACACCCCGGGTTCGCTTGCTCTTTCCGATACTTATTTACGACTCAATTTTTTTTATCGAGCAAAGCTGCGTTTTCCAGGCTGGAAGCCGCGGCGGCGCCTTCCCGGGAGCCGGGCGGCAGGGGGGATGTTAGCAGAGGCAAGGGACAGCACTGCCGAGACAACGGGCGCATCCGCACACGTCCCATCGATCTTCCCCTTCAGTGCAATAACAAGTGTATTATGCAAAGCGTCCTTCAAAGACGTCGTATCAGAAGGTGCTTTTGATGGCGACTCGTAACTGGGGCTCAGATTAAAAGAAATTAGGGCTGGTGGGTCTTAACACACTTGCGGGGAGAAAACCAAAGAGGTTTTTGCCCGTGTAACTCCGGGCACACACACACTCCGGCTTTCCCAGCCACCGCTCCCCGATCTGGTCCGTAACTAAACCTTAAACAACATTTCTCGACGGTTTTGCTAAAGATACACGTGTTCTGGGTTTCTTTCCCCCCCGCAGCTTCCGAAACCCTCAGCTCTGCTCCAGCCCAAACGTGACTCATTTCCAAACAGCGTTACAAATCTCGGCGACGCCAAAACGCCACCGAACAAAGGAGAAGCGAGCGAACCACCGCCGTTTTCCAAGGGAGACAAAATTTGCAGCATCGTTTTGCATCACACCATAAAGCGCTCGTGGACGGGGGGACCGAGGAGAAAGGGTGGGCACCGACACTTTGTCATATTTCTGGCCCAAAACCACCCTGGCTTTTAACGTACTTGGCTGCCAACCCCGCTCGCCCCTTGCGACGTGGTGACGAGCCGTTAGCGGAGGAAAATAGGTGGGTTACGGTAAGCGGAGAAAAATAAATCAGGTTTTTTGTGAGGGCAGAGGACCAGCCGGTTTCAGATGAATATTTAGCAGGCAGGCGGCCGCTGCTCCAGCGGCGTCTCGAAATACTAAACATGCAGAGACAGGGAAAAAAAGGAAAAGGAAGAAAATTCCCAATTCTCCGACTCCGTTTTGTACTGAGTAAAGAAATGGGAGATTTTTAGGTCAATGAGGAAAGCAGCAAGACAATGAGGTAGGGAATGGGGGACACTTTCCTCTCCCCACCGTGCTCTCCCTGCCAGCCCCAGCTCCACAAGGGGCACGTTTCAGCCCGGCCTCGGTACCTCTGAATTTATTTTAATCTTTCATTTTGCTTCATCGCAGGTTTTTTTTTTTTTTTTTCCTAGGGCACTTTTCCTGCTTTCAGTGTGCGTTACAGCTCTATTTAACATCTTTATGTGGTCTCACTAGCTTGGGAGCTCTCTCTTTCTCTGCACAGAAATGCTCACAGACACAATATATCTTTCTACATACATTTCCAAACGCCGAAACCTAGAGGCTGAGTCTGGCACTTCAGTTCTAAATCATGTCATTTTACACAGAGA